ATGTAAGTTAAATGAAGTAGCACCATTCGAGTCACAGAAAACACTAACTGTAATGACCCACTGTTGTCTAGGTTCAATGACAACTCCTGCGAACTGGAATTCCCCTCTGAGGACTGGTGAAAAATATCCACTAATTGTTTTTTCTCATGGTCTTGGAGCATTCAGGTAATGTTTGAAAGATTGAACAAAATGCCCATAGGGATCAATGACAATTTTGTTTGTTTGTTATTTTATTTTATTTTTTCCCAGAAAAGGAATAGGGGCTTTTGCAATGTCATGTGGGCCATTGTCCTGGAGAGTTGCAGTTCTTGAATAATTCACTGTGGTCTACTGGCCAGCCCAGCCCAGTGTTGTCAAGTTGTCTTTCCCTCCTTGGTGGGGATTATCCCTGGAGCAGAGAAGAGGGTTGTTGCAGTCTTGCTTGCTGTCCTTCTATGTTAGATTAGTTACATTCTCAAACCATCCTCTGCATTGGTTAGTTTGTCCAGGAAATAGTCACCAAGATTGGATTGTGTGTGAAAGACATTTGTGGAGAGAAATAACTGTGAAGGTTAGAGGAGAAGGAATAGGAAGAGATGGCAAGAGGTCTCAGGCCATGACGTAGGTTGGATGCCTGGAAAGGAGAAGGGGAAGGGAGCAGGATTGAGGAAGGAGAGTCAGATGGCAGCATAGTTCTCAGAAAGATTGGGCCAGGCCAGTGGAGGCGGTGCTTGACCCCAAGTTGCTTGTAAAGAGTCCTGCCTCTCACAGGAACAGGCCTGTGTTAGTACCCATGCTGTGCCATGTCCCTTGGCTGTATCCAAGGTACAGAGCAAATAAGTGGTGGAACCAGGATTCACTTAGACATGGTGGTGGAGCCAGGGGGGCAGGTGCATGGGCGTTTAGTAAGCTCTACTCTCTGTCGCATGACACCTGAGTAGTGCATTTACATGACAAGCACACCCTCCTTCTGTCTCTCTTCTTCTACCACAGGAGATTATAAGACCTTTCAAGAATAAAAGGTGGCTTTTAGCTGGGAAGTTGGATAGCATCTGCCCTTTAATTGCAGTCCAGCTAGTTATTTGACTTCTACTATATTAGTGATTGGCAAATTAGACTCCAAGTCCAATCCACTTTTTTGCCTGTTTCTGTAAATGAGTTCTAGTGGAACATAGCCACACCCATTCATTTTTCAGTATCATCTCCTCTACTTTTGTGCTACAAATGCAGAGTTGAGGTATTGTGGCAAAGACCATATAGCCCACGAAGATGGAAGTATTTACTGTCTGGTCTTTTTTTTTTTTTTTTTTACTATCTGGTCTTTAACAGAAAATGTTTGCTGATCCCTATGCTAGACCACTTTCCCCACTTGAAAATGTCCTGTATTTTCAGCAGAAGGTATCGCTTCTAGCCACCTCATTTTTATTCTTTATGGTCATTTCCTATTGAATGTAGCATGTGAGGAAAAGATTGTGTAGAATGATGACAAGGAAGAGGGTATAAACATAGTTGCCTAGCACATGATGTTTGTCACCATTTCGCCTGGTCCGATCATTTAAACAATATGTAATGTGTTAAATATTTGCCCTGTTTCAGATATGGTTATAAGCCCTGAAGATGTATCACATTATCTTACCTATTAGATACCATACTATTATAGCATCATCTTTTTACAGATCAGAAACCAAGGCAAAGAAAAGATAAGGACTTATCCAAGGTACAGAGCAAATAAGTGGTGGAACCAGGATTCAAACTCAGCAGTCAGACTCCGGGTCCCATTCTTTGCTTTCCAACGTACAGTATCTTACCAAAACCTTACAACTATCCTAAAGGCTTTATTATTAGCCCCATTTTACAGATGAGGAAAAAAGTTCAGAAATTACCTGAAATCATGTAGCTGACAAGTGGCAGAGCCAAGATTAAACCCCTCAAATCTCAAAGGCCATATTTGTAATCACTGTACCAAGGTTTCTCAACCTCAGTGCTGCTGACATTTTGGACCAGATCATTTCTTGTTGTGGAGGGTTGTCCTGTCCATTGTAGGATGTTTACTGGCATTCTTTCACCCACTAGATGCCAGTAGCACCCTCCCCCGATTCATGATAATGAAAATATTGCCAGATATTATCAGATATCTGCTATGGGACTAAATTACCCTCCTCCTTGAAAACCCCAAGTCTCCATTCTGCTGCAGAGCACTACTCAGGGAGGTAATGGCCTCCATGTTCCTAGTTTTATTAGTGGCCCCAGCCTTGTAATCATGATGAGTAGTCATAATGATTCCTTCTTTTTGTTTTGAAGGACAATTTATTCTGCAATTGGCATTGACCTGGCATCTCACGGGTTTATAGTTGCTACTGTAGAGCACAGGTACGTTACTGGGGAATGTGAATGCCCATAACACACACACAAAAAATGTTAATGAAATTTTCAAAGATGATGACATAATACAAAAAGGATATTGAGTTAGATTGTTAAGACATATGAAACATTTAAGATTTTTAGATTGCTTATGGCATGCTGTGTACTATATGGGAGGTGTTTTCCACATACCATCTCATTTAGTCTTCATAAAAATTCTATCAGATGGGGACTATTCTCATCATTCTAAGGAAGAGGAAAATGAAAGGGGAGAAAGGGGAACTTTCCCCAAGTCACACAGCTGGTAAATGGCAGTGCTGGGACTTGGTTCCCAGGGGGTGAGTTTTGGACACAGTAACATTGCCTCCCGGAACTGTGAAGACAGAGTGGGCTGAGTTTACCCATTACTCCTCCACAATAGATAAGAAGGCCTTTCTTCTAGAATTTACTTTAGGTTCTCTTTAATTTAAAAACACGTGGAGCTGAAGAAAAAAGAGAAATCAAAAGGTCAGAGGGAGGTTGGTTCAAGGACACATGAGGAAGGGAGGGAGAGTGTATGAGTAATGGATTGTGCTTGCATCACAGAGACAGATCTGCATCTGCAACTTACTACTTCGAGGACCAGTTAGCTGCAGAAACAGGGAACAAGACTTGGCTCTACCTGCAAATCCTAAGACGAGAGGAGGATGAGCTCTCTGTACGAAATCAGCAGGTACGGTGCAGTGAGAGAAGAGGGGGCTTCTTGACCTAAAAGTGTACACAAAAGGATGACATCTACTAACTTAATTTTACACAGGATGAGTCCTGCGCCTACCTCTCCTATTTCCCATTCTCAAAGATCTGTCAGTGGATTCTCTAAGTCATAAAATTGCCTTAATGAAATGTCTGGTTCATAGTTAAAGGCAAACACAAAAATCCTGGGGGGTGATAGTGAATATTCAGAATTTTCTTGCATTAACTCCTCTAATTTTAGAATCTCAAAAGTGCTACAAAATAAACTAATGATTTCCCTACCAGAGACAATATAAAAATCCGACTTTCATACAGGTGGTAGATAATAGCATTAAGAGTATAGGCCTCAGGATCCAGCTTTCTATGTTTGAATCCTGGCTTTGTTGATTCAATATCCTGGGGTGACCTTGGATAAGTTAATCTTTGTGCTTCCATGTTTTTATGTCACTAAATAGTGAATATAACAGTGTCTATCTTACAAGCATATTTGGATCATTATCCAGTGGAATAAAGCACATTGAGGGCTTCATTATAGTGAGCAATAGTGGGTACTTTACATATGTTATTGCATTTAAGCCTGTCCATATTTCACTGGAGTAGGGATTATTATACAATAAGTAGAAATTCAGAGAGGTTAGGTTAGGTAAATCATCTGAAGTCACATATTAGGTGAGCAACAGAGACTGGATTTGGATCAAGCCATACCTATGTGCAAAGCAGGTGCTGGTGTCATTTGCTAGTATGTCTTTTAATCGTGAATTACACGATATTTTGAGTTTTTAACTAACCAACTATTTTGTGTGCAACTTCTATACACATTTTAAAATAATTGTAATAACTTTTCACTTTGTTGTTTCCTTCTTCTAATAATCCAATTAGGTACATCAAAGAGCAAAGGAATGTTCCAACGCTCTTGATTTGATTCTTGATATTGATCATGGAAAGCCAGTGAAGAATGTATTAGATTTAGAGTTTGATGTGGAACAGCTGAAGGTAAGCCAGTTTTCCCCCTTATCCTGTATTTCTTTACTCTCCTTTGCTGTCTGATTATCTGTTATATTACAAAGTACAACATGATGAAGGGCTGCACAAAAATGAATGATAGAAATGGCCAATATATTAGGCTGAACAGCACAAGAAATTGCCAGCAGTCAGTCAGATTTGATCTACAAAAATGGCGGTGTTGTATGGTTCAACTTAAAACTTCCAGTGGAGGTACTAGAATTCCTTGGGTGACTCCTGCATGTTTTTGAGCTTGATGTTGAGAAGTTGGCCAAAAGTTTTGGACAAAAATTTGGGAGGGGATGAAAGAATGTCACACAGAGTGGACAGCATGAGCAGAGACTCAAAAATGTGTGAGGCATGGGAAGTGCAGAGAATGGAAGGATGTGAGGATAAGACGGTGGTCTGCTCTCCAGGCATAGTGAAGTGTGTTGCTCATCACCCAGCTGCTCTGTCCGGTATCCATGCCTCAGTACATGTTGTCCTCTTGACCTGATATACCCTTCCCTTTCACTAGCTCCTTCCTAATCTTCAAGACTCCAGTTAGACATCACCTCCTCCAAGAAGCTTTTATGCACCCTGGTGCCCACCCCTAGACCAGGTTCACTATCTGTCACAGGTGTTTCTTGGCACCACTGTATTGTATTCCATCATGTCTCTGTATCACTTTCTTCCCTGATAGAGTGTGAGCTCATTGAAAGTGAAACTGTGGTCCTTGGCACAGAGCAGGTGCTCAATGAATACTCATGGAATGAACAAACTAGTAAACATGGGGTGGCAAGAGGCAGAAGTCAGAAGCAATGTCCAAATGTCAATGTGGGTGACTAAGAAGACCATTAAGTTTACTTCTGAACTTTCACATATGTGTTATATGTAGATATAAAACTATGTTTTATACATGCATGTATATATGTGTGGATAATAGGAATATATGCTTGTATATATTCTGTTTCATAAGAAACCAAGGTACTTTAGCCACACCCACAAAATGAATAACTTATATGATTGACAAAAGCCTTTAGTCTGGGCTGGGTGCCTGTGGCTCAAGTGGCTAAGGTGCCAACCACATACACCTGAGCTGGCGGGTTCGAATCCAGCCCAGGCCTGCCAAACAACAGTGACAGCTGCAACCAAAAAATAGCCGGGCATTGTGGTGGGTGCCTGTAATCCCTGTAATCCCAGCTACTAGGGAGGCGGAGGCAGGAGAATCGCTTGAGCCCAGGAGTCGGAGGTTACTGTGAGCTGTGATCCTTTAGTCTGTTCTTCTAATACCACATGAGATAATTCTGAATTTATATTGTGCTTCTTCACATAGGGCGCCATTGATAGAGACAAAATAGCAATAATTGGACATTCTTTTGGTGGAGCAACAGTTATCCAGGCTCTTAGTGAAGACCACAGATTCAGGTAAGAGAACAAGAGAGAGTGAAGCCAGAGGACAGTAAATTATTAGAAGAGGGGTCGTGAGAAAACATATAGCATTTTTTAAAATCATAATGTTAATGAAGAAAGGATCCCATGGAGTTGTAAAACTCTTCCTTTGCTTCCATCAAATGTTCTATGTTCACTTTTCTAGGCAGAAACCATCTACTGCTCCTACCATTAAAAACTCTCCCCACTCGTACATATAACATTTTCCCTTATACATTTGCTTACATGTTTGCTCAAGGGCTTAGAAATCCATCTTTATATATATTTTTTCTGTGACCCTATGATTATAATAATAATATTGCCATCTTGCAGTATTGCTGGGCTTGCCTATTGGCAGAGCTTTTTTTAATGAGTTGTTTTTTCCCTTCCATTTTAAGGTGGTGCTGAGTATAAAGTGACACAGTTGTTTGGGTAGGAGGAGTGAGGACCAGGCCCCGATTCTGTAACTTGTACAAACATTTCCTTTCTTGAACTATTCATTCCAGATCAATGATGTCATGTAGAACTGACCACATAGAAAAAGGAGAGGATCAGGGTGTGACATTTCCCCCTGAATTTCTTAAACTCTATTTCAGTGTAAGGGGATTCTCTTCTTTTATCCAAAAGGTCAAGAAACACAGGATAGACTTAGAAGGAAAGTTCCATTTTCAATGATATGCCATAGGGTTCCCTTCAATGCTCAGTGTTTCAGGTAAAGCACCTCTAAACAGAAAGGAATGGGTCCAAAACTGTGGCTCTGAAAAAGGTATAATCAGTGTACTAACAGAGTGAGCTAAAGCTCTGGAAACACGAGGACAATGTGCTTTTATTGTACTTTTTCAGATACTCCCATGGCTTTCAAGAAACTATTACTTATTTTAAAAATTATTTTGAAAACAATATAATTTTAAAAATCTTTACATTTTAGGGATATATATTTCTAAAGGTTGCAATTCCTAGAGGCCTTCTAAAGAAAATGGTTGTATAATTGCAAGACTGCTAACTTATAAAGCTAATCATATCCCCTTTCCACACTGAAGTATCTCTTGCACTCAGCAAGACAACCCATAAAAAACTGGTGTGGGTATGTCCACTAATCCAAGCCTTGTTAGGAAGTTGTGTATGTTGGCTAGTGTGTAACCAGCCTTCTTTCCTCATTGTCAACAAATGCAGGTGTGGCATTGCCCTGGATGCATGGATGTTTCCACTGGGTGATGAAGTGTATTCCAGAATTCCTCAGCCCCTCTTTTTTATCAACTCTGAACAGTTCCAATATCCTGCTAATATTGCAAAAATGAAAAAATTCTACTCACCAGATAAAGAAAGAAAAATGATTACAATCAAGTAAGTATTAGAGACTTAATTTATCATCTGAAAAAGAAACATGGAACTTGGATAGACATCAATGGCTGTCATTTGGTAGCCGTTACAGAATTGCCGAAGTGGTTGTTGAGACCTCCAATAAGGAGAATATTAGATAATTCTTATTAGATGATCTCAGTTTCTGAAAACATTTAGATGTACTCTTTTTAAAATGGAGATGTTTGAGTAGTGTTTATGTGTTTGTTACACATACTGGTAAATTCGCATGGCACCACATGCTGTTTTTATCTAAACACCAGAATGTACCCACACATTTTGGGGGGTGTAGGTAGGGGGAGAAGTATTCCATTATTAGACAAGACTAGGAACGCTTTTTTTTTTTTTT